TACATGGAATTATACAGGGCCGGAATATACATGGAATTGTTCACAACCAAAACTGTGGATCCTTAAAATAATCTACAGTTAGGTGTAGTTTCTGAAAATCATCTACACTAAAGTGTAGATTCGTGAAAATAATCAACACTGTGACGTCACAGAAATAGGTTAATTATACGGACCACGTCAGGTGGGGTCGTTTTGACCACGGATGTCGTCGGTGTATAGATGAGGATGGGTACGTGGTTAAAAATGACCACAACGTATTTTTAAGAGTGTAACAGTCCTGAATCCTCCAATTTCAATGTGATTGTGCACACCCCCTAGGGAGTTAGGGTTAACCAAGACTGCATCACCCCCTTTCTCAGTACCTCCCTGTCTCATATCGTTTGAATATTGTTACTTCCAAATACCAATGCTCCCTGGGACTTTCAGATCAGGCAGATGTACATGGATTTACACACTATGAGGTCTCAGTATTAAGCTTGCTTGTAATTAGCCGCGCTTGTCTACTGGCCTTGCATCTAAGTGCAATATCATCAATACAAAACTAGGATGGAGGAAAATCATTAAATTCATATTAGATAACCTATCAACAATACTGACACGCAATGAGGCGGAAAGCAAGCATTTGATGAATGCGTTTGTTTATATTAGTTTCGGAGGTTAATTATGTATTAAGGCTTCAGTGATCACGCTTTTATTGGCGTTAATTGTCCTTCAGTAGGCGTACGTAAGCCGTTTTTTATGGGGATCGGGCACATTCTTTTAAAATTTCAGGGATCATTAATAAAGCACTAAAAAACAAAACAAATCCAACTGATGCCATTTTTTTTAACCCCAGAAAAGTGTTTTTCGATCCAAAATAAAGAAGTTACATACCCATCTTTTTATGATTTTATTTTGTGGGCGGAGCGTCTTTATTTGGAAAAATCGCGAAATAAGCCGAGAATGGGAATCATTTATCAAGATTTCTTTTAGTAAAATTAAAAAAAAAATTGAATAAAATCATACGTTGACACACAAATTTCGGACACATTAATGTAAACTTATACGTCGAATGTTTTCGGAATTTTGCCTTAATAGCAGTCTAAAAGTAAATAGAGTCTGACCCAAACCAATTGGCATATCAGGTCGGCGTTTATCTCCCGTTTAAGTTCCATGAAACGACAGAGATTACTATACCTCATACATATTCATGATCGAGAGCCGAACTCTCACTGGTCAATTCACCATCACATGCCAGATGTTATTTTTGCTGTTTACCAAGCGCGCGCGAGAGGATTCACGCACAGGGTAGTAGACTGTCACGACAGTCTTCTACCCATGCGCTTTACAAAGCAATCGTGGAACTGTCGCACGGGTGTAGTATTTTCCCGAGCTCAATGATGCCGAACTAGATAATATTTATGGCAATAAAGATGCCTCCTGTACAAAAGAATATTGTACACATACTACTTTATTTACAGCTGCACTTGTAAGGTAAACGAACTGAACTAGTGAAGTTGAGCAATACGAATTTTTGGTGAACTGGACAAGTTTTTCAAAAAAAAAAAAAATTGAGGTTCCTTCATGAAACGGAAAAAAAAAACCAATTCGGCGCTGAATATGTATGAGGTATAGTAAAACAAATATAACATGCTTTATTTCGGGTGGACAGCCGATATTAGCTCCCCTCGGTAATTGGAAGTTGCCAAACTAGGTACTAGTTTGTCAACTTCCAATACCTCGGGGAGCGAATATCGACTGTCCACCCTCAAACCATGTTATATTTGTATATAATTTAATATTCCCCTAGATGGGATGCAGGTCCATCGCAGGTTGCTCCCAAGATAATACCGGTGTCGCGGGCAAAGTGGGAATCCGCGCAATGTAAGAATTCGCACTTTGTCCAGCTGGACAGAGTGGGAATTCCGATACTGTCTGGTAAAGTAGGAATACATCCAAATATTGACAATTTGTTTGTATGAAGTTTCCAACGTAATTTGATGATAATCGTGCGAACATTTAAACAAAAGCATATTGTGCCCATGCCCAACAGCCAAATTGCCAATTATAAATATTCCTTTATGGCACTGCTACTGAACCTGGTCAAAGTGGAAATTTGTTAATTGGCTGTTTCAGCAACAAGCAGAAAAAGCCTTCGTTTTTGTGGTTTTTTTTTTTGGGGGGGGGTGCATGAATTTCACTTTTCCGTCTGTAGCGTCCAAATAAGTAAAATAATTAACTTTGTCTAACAACAGCGACGCTAGGGCCTTCGCAACAGCATGGCTGAAAATGCATAGAAAAAATGTCCAATGGATATTATGCCGGATCCAGCTTTCTTTTAGAAGACCTATGGGCGCAAACCAGTAAAAATATAGGCCAAATATCAGTCCGCCGAGCTCATGAATAAAAGTTATACACTCAGTTTGTTCTATATTGGAGGGTCTGGGAGCCATGGAATTGGGGAAATTGAAGTGATATGGCAATTCACCTGTGGCCCGGAGTTGGTTAAAAATGAACGTATTTTTAAGAGAGTAACAGTCCCGAATCCTCCAATTTCAATATGATTAGCACACCCCCTAGGGAGTTAGGGTTAACCAACAACTGCATCACCCCCTTTCTCAGTACCTCCCTGTCTCATATCGTTTGAATATTGTAACTTCCAAATACCAATGCTCCCTGTGACTTTCAGATCAGGAAGATGTACATGGATTTACACACTATGAGGTATCAGTATTAAGCTTGCTTGTAATTAGCCGCGCTTGTCTACTGGCCTTGCATTTAAGTTCAATATCATCATCAACAATCTACGATGCAGGAAAATCAGTAAATTCATATTAGATAACCTATCAACAAAACTGACACGCAATGAGGCGGAAAGCAAGCATTTGATGACTGCGTTTTTTATATTAGTTACGGCGGTTAATTATGCGTTAAGGCTTCAGTGATCTCGCTTTCATTGGCGTTAATTGTCATTCAGTAGGCGTACGTAAGTCCTTTTTATGGGGATCGGGCACATTTTTTTAAAAATTTCAGGGATTATTAATTAAGCACTAAAAACCCAAATCCAACTGATGCCATTTTTTTTAACTCCAGAAGAGTGTTTTTGGAGCCAAAATGAAGAATGTACATACCCATCTTTTTCTGACCTTTTTTTGTGAGCGGATCGTCTATATTGGGAAAAATCGCGAAATAAGCCCAAAATAAGAATCATTTATCAAGGTTTCTTGAAGTAAAATAAATAAATATAAAACAAAAAATTGAATACAATTTTACGTTGACACACACATTTTGACAAATTAATGTAAACTTATGCGTCGAATGTTGTCGGAATTTTGCCTTAATAGCAGTCTAAAAGTAAATAGAGTCTGACCCAAGCCAATTTGGCACATCAGGTCGGCGTTTATCTCCCGTTTCAGTACAATGAAACGACAGAGAATATTTACTATTCCCCTGGATGGGAGGTAGGTCCATCGCAGGTTGCTCCCCAGATAATGCCGGTGTAGCGGGCAAAGTGGGAATCCACGCAAAGTTGGATTTCCCACTTTCTCCGGCTGGACAAAGTGGGAATTCCAATACTGTCCGCCAAAGTAGGAATACATCCAAATATTGACAATTTGTTTGTATGAAGTTTTCGACGTAATTTGATGACCATCGTGCGAGCATTTACTCAAAAGCATATTGTGCCCATGCCCAACAGCCAAATTGCTTGTAAGTATTCCTTCATGGCACTGCTACTGAACCTGGTCAAAGTGGACATTTGTTAATTGGCTGTTTCGGCAACAAGCCGAAACAGCCTTTATTTGTGTGTGTGTGTGTGCATGAATTTCACTTTTCTGTCTGAAGCGTCCACATAAGTAAAAGAATTAACTTTGTCTAACAGCATGGGCCAACAACATGTCTAAAAATGCCTAGAAAAATGTCCAATGGATATTATGCCGGATCTGGCTTTCTTTTAGTAGACCTATGGGCGCACACCGGTAAATATTTAGGCCAAATATCAATCCAGAGCTCATGAATAAAAGTTATACACTCAATATAATCTATTTTTTGAGGGTTCTGAGGCCATGGAATTGGGGAAATTGAAGAGATATGGCAATACACCTCTGGCCCGGACTTGGGGTTTCCATTTTTTTTATGCAATCGGACCCCAAAATGGCGCTACGGGATGAGTTATTAAAAGCAGAACCCAAACTCCGAAAAACATATTTCATATTTAATATGTATTTATAGCACCAAACGTAGTAATGACTGGAAAGCCAATTTCATAAACTACTTTTAGATAAACAAAATTACAAAAATCCGTTCAAAGAAAATGACCATTTGAAAGCAATGGCCCTGAAACCTGTTTCGTTAAAAAAAAATAATAAATAAAGAGCAGATGAGTGTGCATTCTGACTGTTTGGAACAACAGAGAAAATGACACAGAAAATTTGTTTCAACAACTGTAAACAACTACACAATATCTTTTTTAACAACCCTGGTTAGGCAAACAATATGATTTATATATGCACCTTTTTTTAAGACGGGCCATCAAAAGGACTTTGTTGATTTTTTTAAAATTTTTGTACCGAGCTTTTATCGCTGGTGATGTTTGAAGACAACTATTCTTTTCCGCAACTATGCGGAAAGCCACTAAAAAATCAGAAGATAAACAATTGCTTTTCCATTGATGGCGGAAAAGCCAACCTGCAAAGTTGGCGGAAAAGCCAAACAAGCCTGAAGTTAGCAAACTAATATGCATTTCAAGAAATTCGAGTCATGCCGGGAAACTCCATTGCACGGTCCTTTAAATGTCTATTCGATAAGCTCCATGTTAACACTTGATGCGTCGCCTCCTTATTTGCTTAAGTATCGCAAAACGATAGCAAACAGATCATTTGAGTAATCAATTTTTGCAATCAAAGTATTATTGCAATAAAAAAACGCATTTTTCTAATTTGGCAAAACCACAATATTTCTGAGATTTCCCCAAAAGGCAAAAAGGCGCTTTCAACACATTTTTATGGAGTATAATTACTGACCTTGTTTACCACGGCACTGGGTTCTGAAAGACGCGAAAGCCTTGTTACGAAGTGCGATCAGATCATCACCGGGTGCAGCCTTGACCATGGCACTACACGTGTTCCCTCGTACAGGTAGAATACAGAGGGAACTAAAAAGCCCCAGAGTCCAACTGAAGACCCACATTTTACGCGGGTATTTCATAACCAGCCAGCAGGTCTTCACTTTGATATCTGCGATCAAAACGGGCAGAGCACCACTCCCTGGCACGATGAGCCTTATGTTTGGAATATCACTTGCTGTAATCACACAGTTTCCACGGTAACCTTAGCAATGTTTATTGATTGGAGTTAGTTCATCGACGATCTCGAGTTTCGAGAGTCAAAATGCCGACCCCCGAAATTCATTCTCGCATGATTCTCTTAGAGAACGCGTTTGTAGCCCAATTGGGCGCATTTCAGGACGTAGTATCCCTTAAAAAACACAATATCCCGTTAAGAACGCGTAGGGCATTCGCGTGAGCTTGGCACCACCACAGTGACAACTAATTCTGGTCGATGGTTTCACGTTTATCTATGGTCGGGTCACTCTGTCGTGCGTCGCATCGTGCTTGACGTCGTGCGTTGCGTCTTGCTCTGCGCATTAATATCAGAAAGAATAAATAGCTAGATCGGAATTGCTTAGGCCGTGTCCGAAAAACCTCGTTTCCCTTTGGTACGATCTTGCTGCCTTATGCTGGTTCCCATCATGCCTTGCGCGATCGTAACCCCTGGGATTTGGTTATTTAAATATCCTACTCTTAAGGAAATTTAAATTAGGACTGCAATCGATGCGTTTAACGTCCGACGCAGTGCTTTCAATTTTGAAGTTTGTTGCCTGTAGAATCAATCCTTTCTAAGATGAAATTTCGGGGTCGCGTTACAGAGCCAGGATTTATATTATTGTGCGTACCTTTGTCGTCCGTTTTACAACACAAGATACAGTTTTGTTTTGGTGAAAAAAATAGACTTTTAGACTCCATATGGTACACGCATAGCGCAGTCTCGAAACAAGTGCGAGTGCACAATAAGCTCTGGCCGCCTTGCATGAACAATCCCCGGGCTGCCGTTCCACGCGAAAATCACGGGCTGAAAATTGACCAAACATAACCCCTCTTAGTTTCCCATAACAATTGCGCACTGTATACCACGTGACTATAACATTACCGCACATTTATCTTGCCTCCATTATCAAAATTTTCATAAACAACTTTACGAATTGTCACAAATCTTTTTGTAAAGTATTTAATTTGTTTTGTTTGGTGCTTTTTTTTGGAAAATGAAAGTGTAGTATTTTATATTTTATAGGAAACTTAGGGGGCTAGTTTTTGGTCAATTTCCAGGGGAAGGACATATGCAAAACAGGCGTGCATGCGCATCGATGGAGACAAAACCCGTTTTCCCGATAACATTCGCCAAGAGTGCATTTACCGACGACGGTATGGCACTTGGTCAATTTTCAGTCCAATCTTTTTGGTCAATTCTCGGGGACAGACCGACCGAACGACCGACCACCCGTAGAAGCTCCTACCAGAGCTTAAAAAGATGTTCGTACGTGACGTGACGTGCATGAGATGAGATATGCGGAAGCGCATTCAGGAAATGCAGCCCATAGGTATGGAATAAAAAAAACACCTGCAGCATAAATATCCCCGAATGTCCTTCTCAATATTTTAAAAATAACTACAAAACCACAAAAGTAAATTTTGAAATTGTTTAATGCAGATTTTTTTAAATATTTCCTCACGCGCCCTCACTGCACAATGGTCAATTGATCAAAACAACATTTTTGGACACAGTGACCAAGCTCCTGGCCTTATAATTTTAGTGCTGTGTTAATGTAAGTTGTGTTAAAAGCCTTCATGTGAAAACAGGTTGATGTTGTTGTGGAGTGGATGCATTTGCCCTTGAGCATTACAGAGACACTGCGTCCTGGAAAGCGCCCAATTGGGCTACAAAGCGCACTTTGAACGAAATAATGTTAATCGGAAAGACCATATAAAACTAGGATCTAAACATCCACACAACTAAAACTGGGCGTTTTATGTAATTCTTGCGTTATGCGTGCGAGAACGACTTTCAGGTTCCACTTTTGCGACCCCAAAAAGTCGGGCTGTTCATGCTAGTTGTGATTCCAGCCGTAAAGTGCTCACCTTCGGCGGACGTGTAAGAAACTACATTTGTGTATTGGTGCTGTGTGTAATTTGTGTGACATACACAACGTGTATCGTACATTGACTGAAAACGACGTGGAAAAAAAAACCGCATCGTGTCCGATGTAAACAACCGGGGTTTTTGTCGTCTTTTCTCGGGAACGGTAAGACGTTAGGTTAGTTTCCCTTCAACCACGATTGAAATAGAATAAGTAAACAATCCGAAACATGAAACTTTCGAGGATTTCGGGACGAAGTGCCCCTTTAAACGGAGGTCTTGCTGCAAAATTTAGAGTGACGTGTAGCTATCAATTACAATGCAATAATTACTGAGAACATAACAATTATCCAATTTAAAAACCTTTTGATATTCACTCGCATCTTCGAAATGTAAATTGATAAGCTAGCATCCACGTCGTAGTATATCATAAACTTTCATTACAGTTTAAACAGTGCAAAATGCATTGTATTCTTGGTGTTGAAACTAATCACTTCAACTTAAGGAAGCGTGGCTTGGTCAGGGGAAGGCGAGGGGGCCAAGGGGGGGGGGGGCAATTGCCATGTAGGTACATAAATTGCTTCGTTTTTGTCGCCCATTTTACTTGTTAACATGATTTCTCCTCCGGAAAAATAGGTAAGGGGTCTGGTTGACGGGGATAGTCGAATTTTAACCAGGTAGTGTCAAGCCCCATCACCCTGCGTTCTTGGGATTGCTTCAAGATATTATTTCATACAATAGCAACATGGAAGAGGCGCCGTCACGATCGAGCGCCCTCATTTTGATGGGAACTACCTTGATCAGGGCACAGTGCGATGGTACGACGCGATAAAAGTCGCGAGGGACAACGTGATGCACGACACAAAGTACGACGCGACGCACGACACGACGCACGACGCCAAGCATGACGATAAGCATGATGCGCAACAAAAGGGGCAACGTCCTGGCATAAAATCAGCGAGACGGCACGGCGCAATGGACGACGCGATGCCAGATGCAGAGTGCGTATAAAAGTAGGCAAGGAAGCGGCGGTGCGACGCGATGGCACGACGCAATAGAGACGTCGTGCCAACGCGTCATGTACTCGCGTCGCGTGTATATTGAAGAGGCGACGCGGTTTGTCGTCAATAACCCCCCTTTCGTTGCCCGTTGCAGCGCACCGTCGTGCTTCGCGCCGTGCGTCGCCTCGTGCATCGGATAGAGATTTCAATTGTGACGTCGCTGACTTAAGCAACTTTTTTCCTCTGGGGTTAACCCCCACCTCGCTGGCTGTTGGCGACTATAGCCGAGGCCTGAAGAAAGGCTATGTGAAGGGAGACGGCTAGAGCCGCATTCCCGCAAGTACACATTTCATTCATCATGCACATGCGGTTGCTACAAGATTGTATTTTCTAGAAGCAGAAAGCTCGGTGAACATTTGTTTGTCATGAAAAACGAAGTTATTCAGCAAAACCACTTATAAACCACTTTTCTCGAGCACGGCGCACGGGGTCACAAGGGCGGATCCCCTCCCCTCCCCTCCCCTCCCCTCCCCAAACGAACCCAATCTTTGTTTTTGAAGTGACGTCGCAATAAAGGCAGGCACTGCGTACACAACCCCTAAAGTGTTAAAGTGGTCAGAAATTTCCTCATATTGCACCACAGATCATCTAGAATCCCCCCAACAAATTCGGGGCCCTTATAAGCGGGCCGCGAACTCCACGCCGTATTTGTTTTGAACCAATTTTAGGGGGCCGAACCACTTTTTTTTTTTTTTTTGGCCCCTCAAATTGTGTTCTGGATCCGTCCTTGCAGTGTACGTGCTCGTTGTTCACGGATACGCACGGTTGATCACACTCGGCTTTCCGTATACATTATTGTGCACAGCGTATTACCGGTGTCACGGTCTTACTTCTCCGGCGTGCTAGCTTCTCCTACAGGGAAATTTCGCTCAACACGCATGCGCAAGTTGCACAGTACTGTACATTTTCGACAACTTTATTTGTGTGCTGAGTTTGGTGTTGTACTGGTGCACGTAAGATCTTGGGATATTTGTATGTTTACGTTATTTACAGGGTACCAGTCTAATCCAGATTTTTTGTAGCGCGCAACTCCCAATAACCAAAAAGACCACGAACGGGCAAGGAGTTTGTTCTTAGCCCTTTTATTCCCTCATGAACACACACACGTGACACGTCTGGGAACACAAATCAGAATGCTTGCAAGACCAATGAATGACTTGACCCACAGGAAGTGTTACATAACACATTCTAATGGAGATCAATGGGTGTCCTTCACTGTGTTATTTATGGACTTTGTACACTTCAGCACACAGCCCCAGGAAGAATAAGCACAGTGGACACATGAGCATGTAGCGTGCTCTTGTAACGTGCACTGTAACGTGCTCATTTATCCGCCGAATCCACCCGGAGAAGCTAGTACGCCGGCTGTGACACCGGTCAGGTATCGAAAAACTATACCATCCAGGACGAGTTTTAAGCATGCTTTTATTGTGCTTACTGCTAAAGCCCGCCGCACACGCGTACGATAGGTACCCTACGTGTTGAGCAAAAAGCCATTTTGAGGCCGTTTGCATAGCATTTAACTCAACGTGTGCGGTGAAGTTTTGCTGAGTTTTCTGTCTCGCAAGGTCATGAGGCAAATATCTATCCTGATTGATTTCTTAAATTTGGGTTCGCACGGCGAACAACTTTACCGTGACGGTCAACCTGAGCTACGGGCTGAGCTAAAAAGATTAAGTAACCAATGAATTACACTATTCTTGTTTATCGGTCACGTGATTTAATAAATGGGGACAAACGCCAGCAGGCTTAAAAAGATTGGCACAAAAATCGCCTCGCGAGACAGACAACTCACACACAAAAATCACCGCACACGGGGATATTTTGTGAGCTACGTGCCGAGCAAACGGCCTCGAATAATTTTTGCTCAGCAAGTAGCTCTCTTGTGCGGAGGGCTTTACTGCCTCTATGAAATATACTGAGGCTGGGTATTAAAGCTTAAAATCGGCTGTTAAGCAGCGCTATAATTGGGCCCCGATGTTTACATATGGAAATGAGGGGAAAATAACATAATGTTAATAAGAAATCACTTTGAACTAATACTCATTTATCCACCAGTCACATCCCAAAGATAATCCGATGTAAATATTCATGATAAACAAGCCTTCGGCGCGGCCAAACGTCTGTATATATGGAGATATATGGGCCCGACCCACAAAAGGTGCCGATGACGTCATAATAGCAGCAATTTCCGACTGGCACGGTTCAGACGACAGAGTGCGCAATTAATTTGCGCTTGCACAGCCGGCAGGGTCATTATCTTTTTCTAGAAAAGTACTCACAAATTTCACAACATCATCCACGATTGGAGCTCTTTCATCAACAATTGTAATGTGATAGACCCTCTTGCGAAGATCCCACAGCGATTTCTCCAAAATCTGAGACGGGCATTTGCTGTTGTTCTGTCCACCGAGCTTACCCATATAGACCGTGGGCCAGAAATTCTATCTCTCCTAGAAAATGAAGTCCGTTAAATTTTTTGGTGACAAGAAAAAAATGCTTGTTCTTTGTCAATTCGAGGGTGCTGAATTCAATTCTTCCTGTTGCCGAGCTGCCAAGTGGCACGTTTAGTCACAATCGCCGTCCAAAGTTTAATCCCCCCAAAAAATCTATTAAGGGGCCCCTAGCGACCGATGGCGGTATCCATCCCCTTAAAGTTCTCAGAAACGGCTACTCCGATTCAAATGCAGATCGTCACCCACTTAGAATAATTAATGATTATTAACTCTATAGACTTGTAGGTTCATATACAAGGTGGTTTCTTAATTACATGTACTTTAATTATGCAAAAACAATGCTCATATATGTTTTATTGCAAATTGGCACAGAAGGCGTACATAACTGACTTTTCCATATAAGGCATGACTGACTTTTTCTATAATTGTATACGACTGCATTATATAACTAACCTAAAACAATTGTTATATTGATGCCAAGGAAAAATGTCATATTAATGGTTTTATTGTTGTGATCATTAAATATGAAATTATGCACAAAATAACGCTTTGGCCATATTCAGTGTTTTTATGCCAATAAATAGTTTGTTCAAGGTTCTGAATTTTTGCATGTGAGGCTGAAAATATTGAATTACATGTACATTTATGTCATTAATCCAAAATGAACCTTCTCCAAATTAACATAATCACATAATTACATAATTATGATAAATAATTGTGCAATTTTGCAACAAATTGGATTATAACAGCACTAAGTTTTGTTCTTATATGTTTATGAAAGGAAAAACTATTTAAAGAAGACTTACTTATTTCATTTACCTAAAATAAAGTCCTTGATGCAAACAATAAATGGTAACTAATTCTCAAACTATCAACAAGTAACGCTAAGTTGTCCACAGTCAACACTTTGTACCACCCGATTTTTTTTTTCAAGATATCACCGAGTTTTCCATAACATATGAAGTTCAAAGACTTATTTGCAGATTACCGAATTATGTCATTTACCTGAAATAGAGTATTTGATTTCAACAATGTCCTATTTGGAAAGGTTTTATTTTGTGGTAATTAATTAATAATGGTGGTACTCCAGCTTCTTCAGACATTTGACTTAACAGGTGCAGAAGCTTCGTCATTCTCATGACGCTCCCCTCAGAGATGATTTTTTTCTTCGATGTATTTGCTACAGAATGTCTTGTATTCTTGGGATTCACTCTCCTTTTCAGATTCTCTGCTTGACCGCCAATCACTTGCTTGCAAAACCTGTACAAAAGTAGATGGCTATGATCAGGCTTGGAAAAGATATGATGAAATTATTATACTTTCTCCCTGTATTTATTGGGAAAAAAAGTCTAATTAGGGAGAAAACATAAATGGGTATATAGGCCGAACATGAAATGTTCAGAAAATTTGTCTGTGCATGCATATTAAGTTATCCAATTTACAAGAATATAATGTGATGGCATGCCCATAGAAAATTTATTTATTTATTTATTATTTTTTTAAGTATCCTAATATTTCCTACAATTAAAGGCACTATATCCTACAGTTAAGGGCACTATTACTGTGATCTGACTTTAATCACACACTTTATAATTTTTCATAAAATAGGAAAATAGTATCACCTTGCACATTGACTAGCTACCATTCTCTAAATCAACAGAAAATATTCCATACGTCTGGACACTTTTTATGATGAAGAAGGTTCTGCATTGTTTGTTTGTTTTTTTAAGGGGGGGGGGGAGTAACACAACATTGGTGATAGCTTCAATGTCTTACCTTGATGTAATTATTGTGGCATGATCTGTGATACCGGACTTCGATTTCCACCATGTCTTGACCTTAAATATCAAGAAGGATGGATTCATCATTGAGTAGTTCAGCAGCCTTGAGAAGTTGTCCACCTGAAAAAAAAAAAAAATCTGGTTCAAAGTGGTTTCAACAATTATGTGGAAATGTTTTTCCATATATATGACATTATGGTGGTGTCACACTTTATATACATGTACATGTAATTATGACTGTACCTTTTTCATATTCACAGTTTGTGAGTGGCTCTTTTTTCCGCGGTCCATATGGCTGCTGGATCCATTTGCTCTTCTTGCATATGATGCACTCCACTGGTAGAACATGCCTGGTCCTTTGCTCTTTCTCTCCTGTGCGTCTTCTCTTGAGGGCGATTACTACATCTCCTGCGACATCACCCCCTTCACTAATTGAGCCCTTCTCCATCCTCAGTTTTGCTCGCTTTATTTTTGATACATTGCAGAATCTGTTGAAATGAGAACGAGACAGATAAAATATTTGGCAATGAAATGGCTGATTGGATTTAAACAATTATAGAGATCAGAAAGTTTCAGTTAAAAGTATGTTTGTAATCAAATCATACTTCTTGTAGAAGTAGATTTAATTTTTTCCCTTCGTAATTGATATCCCTCATGTCTGTGGCTCTTAAAAAGAAAAATACAGAATGTCCGAAAACCAACCTGTCTATAGTCTGGCTCTTACAGCCATGGATCCCAACATTGAGTATTACAAGAACCAGAAAATGCTATAAAGACTAACGACAGAGGTTGACAATTACGTTACAGCTGCTGTAACGATAGCCGGTGTGAAACAAATAAGGGAAAGATTCCAAGATCTGGCCATCACTAATTGTTCCCTTCAGTGACCTATCAGCCATCATCAGAAAGTGAAAATCAGTCCTAAAAGCTTAGCAGGGAAAATATTGAAGTATTTACTGAGAACACAATTCCAAATTTTAAGACCAGTTTCATATGTTCTGACTGTAAAGGGTGACAAGTGATGGCCAAATATGGTTACCTTTCCCCCAAAATACTCAATCAATCATTGTCATGGTAAATCCTTACTTTTAGGACCCCGTTCCTATATAGGAAGGGAAAGACTCACCAAAACAGTTGACTAAATGACACTAAAAATTGACATTCTGATACTTCTTGGCACATCTGAACGATTGGCAATGACACCTTCTTGAATATCAGCAGGTTTAATTTTGTGGAACGAGGGCAGGGCTTTGATTTATGAGGGAAATGCAGGGGTCAAAGACGACGATGACAACCAGAAAACAGACTCAAAAACCAAGATGGCCAACGTGAAAGCTCGATGAGATGAAAGCTCGATGCTGATTGGCTGATAAAAAATAAACATCTTATTTATTTTTAGTCTGGTTCCCAGACCAAAAGATTCAGGAATAGTCAGTATCTTCTGGCCTGAGAACCAGACTAACTTATTTATTTTTAGTCTGGTTCCCAGACCAAAAGATTCAGGAGTAGTCAGAATCTTTTGGTCTGGGAACCAGACTTTTTTTTTTTTGGAACCAATCAGCATCGGGCTTTCATTATGTAGGGCGTTCACGCGTGTGAGAACTACAACATGCACGTCTGACTGAGAAAAAAGGTAGGAAAGTCACATTTTCTTCGAAAGTGCTTTCAAAACTACAACTAACATGAGTTTATATGAAGAAAAAAGACTGCTTTAGCCTGCAAAAGTCACTTTGGTACTGGACAGTCATCTGCAAAAGTCAGTTTTGAACAGAACTTGTAAAAAATAGAGGTGTCCTAAAAGTAAGGATTACAATTGTCATGTTTGTCCAATCCTATTTTATTTTCAATGTACTAATAGCAAACACAACCTATTTATTTGCTTTAAAAAATGACTTCAGTTACTTATTAACCTTATGAAAAATAGTAATAGCCCCCCCCCCCCCCCACTACGATGATAACAATTAAAATTCGACATGTTTGGAATTGGAAACTTACACATCCATGACATCTGGTGTAGCAATGCCGGTGGTAGCCATGCATACTCGGCCTTTGGTCGTTCGTTTTTCGCTATATCCTTGCTTTTTTGGGCAACTTCCCTCTCTTTTCCATCCAATTCTTGCCATTGCTGACAACAAGTTACAAACTTCTTCCAGCTCGTCTCTGAAAATGGTGAAATTTCACCGCTTTCTTCGCCAACATGGCAAACGCACGTCCTGCCGACGGGCGCCGCCATGTTCCTCCTGACGTCCTCGTCCCCGGGAAAACTAACGCAATTTATTAAATCGCCTACGAAGCGCCGATTCGAGGTTGCAACATACCGCCCTCAATCGGCGTTCAAAAAAACATCGCCGACGCGACGGGAAAGTGGCAATTTTCTACCTTGATTTTCACATTAGTTTGCCGGGTTTTCTGCCGGCAACATCAAATATATTAATCAGTGTCACAAAAAGAGTCCATTAGGAAAGAAAAAAAGTTGCCACCAAAAACTCCGAACAATTCTGCACGCTACGATTTCTGGCCCACGGTCTAATAGTGTCCAGTGTCGCTTGACAATTCCTCAGTCCATCGGAGTAATTCAGCAATGACTTGTTGTCTCGTGTGTCAGGACGGTTGATGAGTTTATTGACCCATGCCACAAGTGATGTCGTACTCAATCCCGAATCGATCTGTTAGCTACTTTGTTGCTAGAGCATAAGCGGCTGTACCGGCTCTTAACTGTGTCTTACCTGGTGATTATCCCTAATCAGATGGCTTAATCCAAACTCATGCAGTTAAACCAAGGTTTGTGCAAGAAAAAAAATCCTAACTGCTATGATAATGGCTACCATGAGCAGTGTCACCAACGATGTCTAAATATCTCAAGGAGGCGACAGGACCTGAACAATACAGATTCTACTCTTTTCATAAGAAATATCCTCATTTTCATACTATTTCTACATCATAAATCACCTCAATATCAATATCAATATATTTATGAAAATGTTCACGTTGCAAAAGGAGTAGCGCCCTCTAGCTTAAGCGAAATATACACCGTAAGAAAGAATGGTACACTGAACGAAATCTTTGCGACTTCAGACAGCATTTGATGCCATTCAATGCCTGGGAAAGAAGAGATGTAAATTAAGTCGCGATTTGGCATCATCGACTCTTTGGGTATAAAAGGTGTGTGTTCCTATAGTAGACCCCAGCAGTCTTGTAATAAGCCTATGAATATTGTGACGCGAGTCCAGTCAAGTCATACTATTTGCAGTGACTCAAGTTGAGGCTTTGTAAGTAGGCCTACACAGTGACTTAGGTCGGGTGGAGTCGTTCTAAGACAGGCACTGCACTGAATTTGAGTAGTTCTGAGGTGTAATTCGAGTAAAGTTTAGTGTTCTTAGGTAGTGACTCAAGTTGAGTCATTTCAAGTAGTGATTAAATTTAAATAGTTCTTAGGCCTAGGCATTGACTCAAGTCATTCTAAGGCAGTGGCATGAGTCATATTGACTCATGTAAAGAAGTGACTGGTTGCATTTAGATATTCTAAGGCAGTGACTCGAATTATATTAAGTACATGGAAGGCAGTGACTCGAGTCAAGTCTTTAAGTTAACCAAGTTGAGTGGAGTCATGTCACATTCTTGCTTGAGTGACACCAAACTGGGAAGAGTTCGGGCGTGGGAAGAATTTGGATGAATACTACCTAGAATTTGCTTGGTGTTGGGCAAAACTTGTCGGATTTGATGGAATTGTCTAGTCCTTAACCCTAAAGGGCCGGGTTATTTTGACCATCTCTCAGCCGGGGAGCGGATTCCGCCCCCCCCCCCCCTAAGATCTCGGCCATCGAGTGACGAAACATTTTGAAACTCAGCACATGCATAGAGCAACTCTTCCTAAACATACCCAAGAAATGTCATGACTAAAGGTCAAAGGGTTTTGGAATTATGGCTAATTAATTGTTCATATGTACGAATGGCAATTCTGCTCTGTGTACACGACGTATATGCGAAAATTCGGTTTTCACGTCGCGTAGCGCCGAAATTTTTTTCGCTACGCGGCAACCCGTGGTCCGATTTTTATGTTTTTGGTATCAAAAGATGCGCAAAGCTCGAGGCTAAAAAGTTATAACAGCTCGGGTTGCGAAACAATTTTTTTTTAGAGGCTATCGCGGAAAATGTTGAGGAGGGGGGCGGATTCTGCCCCCTCCCCGGCCCCTTTAGGGTTAACTGACCCCGAAAAGGACGAAGCTGCCATTGACAGGAAAAAATAAATAAAAAATCTTGATAATGCTTTTAAAAAATCATTCCTGTCCTTTTTTGTTGTGTTTTAGGTAGAAACGATTACATCAATGACTACCCTACATGCAGAATAAGAGATGTAAAGCTGTATCAGCTAGGGGCGGGAACAAGCGAGAAAAGGAGCTTATCATTGGCAGAGCCCTCAGTGCAGAATACAAATATTCCTCCGAATATTCATAACTTGAAGGTGTATTAAATCGTGAGTGGCATAATAAGGAGTATAATTGGCAAGCTCTCAACGCACGTAATAAGCCTATGATTATTCAAAGATTAAGATTAAAGGTATTGTCAATCATGATTGGAGTCATAAAGTGAGCTTATCATTGGCCAAGGTCACAATACAATTATGAATAGTCTTGTGAGTATTTATAGGTTGAAGGTATTTGATTCATTATTGCCAGAATGTGTCGAGAAATGTGCGAATTGGAGATCTGATTGGAAAATTGTGTCTCATGTATATTCATGACTTTCCTCTCTCCCCTATATCATGAGATATGCTGATGTGATGTAACTGTTTTGTTGATAGCGCCCCTAGGGTTCCAGACCAATACATAAACTTCCATTGACCCCAATGTTAAATGCTCCCACTACAGAAATTCTGGAAAAAATACTCACAACTCTCCAAGGTGTTCGAGACACACATCAAATTAGAGCTTATTTCATCATCTTTAATTTTCTTTCCAATTTACGGGGGGTCAACTGATGACTTTTAGGAGAAATTTCCATCCGAAGATGATCATCTTTTAAAATAGTACTGAAGCCCATCGCCATTTTGAAAAAAAAAAACATGCCTACACTCCATTGCCAAATAGAGCGCTTTTAGGGCCCCAATTTCATCCAAATTGAACGGAACTACAAGCTCACAGTCCTGTGCACGGCTTCCAAAATCACCCCCCCCCCATTTTCGCTCGAAATTTCTGTAATCGGATGACGATCAGGGCCTCCTGAAGATTTAGGCGCATTTGTTGCGGAACCGCCATTGGAAACCCCTTTGAAACGCTGCCCACCCCCCCACCCCGGTCACGCCCCCCTGAAAAACTACTGTCGCAGAATATTTTGACAACGAACGATAGACGACGCCATTTTGAAATTATAGGTTCCAGACCAGTAAATAAACTTCCATTGACCCCAGT